ATCCACAGATTTCTGCATAAACCTTCGCTCCAACCACAGTGGTGTCCGCCTACCCTGTAGGATACGCACGACCCTGAGTACAGGGCTGACTCCAGGTTTCTACCAACTACTTGGCATGTCCCCCACCCTGACCCTAGCTCTCCCCAATGCGTTCGATCTACATCATTTCAAGCTTCACTCCCCTTTCCAAATCAGGCGGCCGTCTCAAAACGCCGCTTCCTTATCTGCTTCAGTGGCGACCTGGACTTCCCCGGCCACGACAGGAGAAACTACCCTGAAACTGCTTGTGTTAATTCTGACTTCTCTGAGACTAAGTTCTAGGAGGGTAGGGACTCTCTCCCACCTTTTCACTATTATACCCCCAGGGCCTAAGATAGGGCCTGGCTCCTAAGAGGTACTCAACGAATCCTCATTCAATGAATGAATAAATGACCTTACAGAATGAATGAACAAGTGGGCCTGGAGACTTAGGTGAGTAGGTGTTCTCTTTTTGTTTACTCTTTTAAAAATCCACTCTGCAACCTTTCAAGTCACTTATGTTCGTGTCTTACGCTTTCTCTTTTCTCTTTCTATGTCTCAGCACGCAGACCCATTTCTTTTTAATCTCTGAGTCTCTCGAAGAATGCCATGTACCAAAAGTTGGTGCACGTTACATGCTTGCTGGAAACGTGTCAGAATCCTCTCGTGTTCACTGCATTTCCCTCGTAACACAAAAAGCGAACACTTCGTGTCACTGTGAGAAAGAGGAGCGCGGAATGTCAGTGTGCAAAAGCCAAGGCCAAGTTGCTCCAGCGCCTGCGAGGTCAGCGCGTGGAGCGAAGCCGCCTCTGCTTCCTGGCCAGCAACCTCCCCACAGTCCTGTGGGCTGGGAGAGACTGTCTGAGGCCACGACGCCAGGAAGCAGCCCCACTCAGCCGCCTGTGGGACACTGCAGGCCTCACCGCCCCTTTTTCTGCCTTCCCATTCCAGGCTACACTGACCAGGGCTCAGCAGTTGTAAAGGTCAACAAAATAACTGGGGAAGTCTGAAAACTTTTTAAAGCCAATGCATAGGGGTGATCTGTGGTCTGTTTAAAGCCAGCTGGTAGTGGCGACTGAGTAGAACAGCAGAACTGCAAAGAGCACCCCCCACCTACAGAGTCTCCCCAGCAGGGTCCCCTCCGTGAGGCACCCTCACCAGGCACCCTCAGAAAGAGTGCAACCCAACGGGCACACGCCCAGGTACCGACCTGTCGACATTTGCTCTCTTGCTTCGATGGATCCCCACCCTCCCCGAATCGAAGCCAGTGCGGGACCAGGGAAGACGCACACTGCAACGCACGTTGCTCAGCCCGTAGTACGTCTGGCACGGCTGACAGCACGCGGGAAATGACAGGTACCCCAGACGAAAGCTTCTCTGGCAATTCCGGCTGCAAGGGCTCAAGTGGGGGCACATTTCTATTCTCCTTAGAAGGGCTGGGGGGGCCACGCTGAGGCCACTTCCGGACACTAGCTGTGCTGCCCAAAAGACACACAAGGCGCCTGCGTCAGACCAGTCAGCCCTTCCTCCTTTCTCTGAAACACTGACCTGGCCGTCGGTTTTTCTGTGTTACCCAAGCTAATTAGCAGGCAACCCGAGCAGAGTTCGCTTAACCCAGCAGTCTGAATAAATGCCCTTCCCTGGAAACTCCGGTGGTGGGAGGCTCGGCAAACAGCGATGGGCGCCTGCTTTGCGAACTTCCGCTTCAGCCGGAGCCTGACCTTCATCTGGTCCCACTTCCAGCTGGAAGGTCGCTGGGCATCACCATCGTGGGAATCACAGTTTACGGCGAGCTGTCCGCCTGGCTTTGCCATGTTTCCACATGCATTATTATCTTAACTGCGCCTCACCACAGCGCGTGAGGTGGGTGCTATCAGTCCTGTTTTACGGATAAAGAAACCGATGCCCAGAGAGGAGAAGGGCAGGTTCCCAATCCTGGGCCCCTGGCTCCAGCACCCCTGCTGCCCCCCAGAAGCCTCGAGGCATCGGTCCTGGTCCTCTGAGGCTGACACTCCGATCTCACCCTCTGCAGAGCTTGAGCCCGATTTTTTTTTTTTCCATCCTTGACAGGCTTGCTGCTGCCACCCAGAGGGACAAGAGACACAGATGTGAAGTAGATGTGGGTGCATTTCAAGTCGGCCCATGCCCAGGGGCACTTGGGGTGGGGATGGGAACCAGGCACCCCCCCAGGAGGGGGCGGGGAAGGGGATCAGAGGGCAACGAGGGGAGGGAAGGGTGGAAACGGGGACTGAGGATGAGAGAAAGGGAAGAGGGAGAGAAAAAGCGGAGGTCGTGGGGGCCGGAGGGGGCGGTGGGGAGGAGAGAAGAAACAGGATTCGTGACGGGCTGAGATGAGACACGAGGGACAGTGTGATGGGGAAACACTGATCAGAAGAGGCCGGGGCCATGCGCTGGCAACGTCTCCCCCGCCGGCAAGGCCGCCGTGTGTAGTGCGGGGCAGCTCCGCTTCTGCCGACCTCACGGGTGGCAGGGAATGGGAAAGGGAGGCCCCCGTGAGAATCGGCGACAACGAAGGACAAGGGCTCGGTGAGTGTAAACGTCACCGGGGTCTCGGGCATCAGGAGGGGCCCAGGAATTGGTCCTGGGGCCAGGTTCTTTCAGAAGAAGACCCACGTTTACCAGTTTCGCACTCGCTCTTGAAAAACATGGAGAATTATTAACGAATAAAAGTAAATATTATAACTCATTAAATCCTCGGGGATGACCACCAAAAAGCTGAATACCTTCAAGTGTATTTCTAAAGAAAAAGATGTGCCTTATCAATTTCTATCGCTTATTGCAAAGCTCTCTATAATGCATTTTCCCATCCCTGAAAAATCAGTCAAACCCTGTCCATTATATCCCCCCAAACACATATTTTTTGAAAGTTCAAAACAACAAAAAGGGACTGAGACAGCAAAGGAGCAAACACATCAGAAGACAGAATCGTGGGAAGCCACTGGTGCCTAAGGACAGCAGCTACCTCCATCTGCCTCCGCTTGATCCAGAGATACAGTGGCTGTAGGTGTCCACTGACGAATGACCCCTGGGTGTGGCTCCATGGCCCTGGGTAAGCCTGGCAACACGAGGCTTGTCTAAAACCTCCCACATTTTTCTCTCCTTTCTTCCATATTTCGTGGTCTCAAAGCTGGCCTTCACCTCTGCCTACCCAAAAGGAATCTCGTTACTGCTGCACAACCCTGGCCTTTGGCCCGCTGCAGCTGGCAAGGGCCCGCTCCAGGAGCTGGCTCGATGCCATCCCTGGTCTTTAGAGCCCAGGAAGAAGGGCGAGGGGACAAGAAAAGAGGAGCAAAGGCTTCAAAGTTAAGCAGCCCCTTAACTCTGGCTACGTTAATGGGAGTCTCCTTGAACTTGGGTAAAAATGAGAAACAAGACAGTAAGCAACTCCCGGCATGTGATCCATCATCTCAAGATAAATAATAAACATCTCGTCATCATTCTTTTGTAGTTGGCTTCCAGTGGGCAGCCCACGTTTCTCGGCAGGAGGTTGGAGCCCAAGAGCTCTGCTTCTCCTTCCTCGGTGAATAGGCTTCAAATAACAAGGAGTTATCCAGCCCATCCTTATCGATCTCACGCAAAGCATTTTCAATAGAAGGTATTGGCGGGGCACCTCTGAGAGGCCCCAGGGGAGTTGCTCCTGTATCTGGACTTGCAGATCAACTACTGACACCCACAGGTTAGAGTGCAGAGCAATGGTTAGGGGGTTCCTGTGTGATGACCACCGCTTATTGTGAAAAGGGAGAAGAAACAGCTTGCTAGAAAAATATTCTGCACCCTCTCCTTTCTCCCTCTGTTTGAACAGTAAAGAAAACAGAACTCAAAACCCAGCTTAGGGGACGTGCACCATCGCTCAGACAATCTCAGTCAGTGGCAGATGAGATCGGATTTGAGCGCGGCTTTGTGCCAAAGCTGTCAAGCCATTCCAAACCTTGGAGTGTTTACTGTGGCCTTTCGTGGGCTAGGCCAATCTGAGCCAGTGGCCTTTGGAGCATAGCAGGCCTTGTTCACAGTTTCGTAGGATTTGGAAAATAAGCATTCACTCCCGACAAATAAAAAATGGCTGTGTGTGGGTGACTCTGGGCCACCAGGCAGATGAAATCCCGCTTCCATGAGCTACACCCCAAGGTTTGAAGCTCTTTACAATGAAGAGGGAGCAACTCCCATAGGCTGGGACCTATGTCCCCTCGGCAGGTCAAAGCACTACTGACTACTCCTAGGGGAAGGGCACGGGCTCTAGGGGCCTCCCACGCACAGCCAAGGAGGGGCTGCGGAGGAGCCGGATACCTACTGTTGGTCTTCATGCACATCTATCCTGCAGCACAATGTCAAAACAAGGGACAGCTGAAGAGATTTGGAACAGAATCGTCGCATTTCTCATAAGAGCAACACAAAAAGGAAAACAAACAGCAAATGCATTAGAGACCTATATCCCGTACATTCAGACCCTTAAACCTTTCTTAAACCCTTCTCAAAAGCAGCTCGAGCAGAAAACGTTCTTGTGTGGCACTGTAGCCACACCCACTCTCGTAAAAACCATCCGAGACTTGGCAAATCCAATTCTCTGAACTGATCAGCCATTAAGGGAAAGGATGCTGTGTGCCGGAGTTTCCAATTCATTACCTTTCCCCCAAAAAACGGGAGGAGGCCTGTGCGGTGCATTCCCATGGCAGAAGGGAGGCATAAAGCATGGCTTCCGTCTGATTCACCCCCCTGCTCCATACCTGTGACTCATCCTCACATACGAGCCCCACCCCCCCACCCCCCACTTTCAAATCCTATGGGAAAGTGAGAGAGCCAGGTGGAGAAGAGACGAAAGAGCCTACATTCATTCTTTTAAAAAAATTCCAATTATAGTTTATATTTAAAATTGTTTTGTTGTAATAACTAAACTGAAGACAGCATTATAAGGCTTTTTATTTTCCTTCTTTAGGAACTTGATTTAAAAAATGAAGAAGGCTTACCCATTTTTGAAATAGAGGACATGGGCTCTCTGAAGTCCTGTTTCTAGGAAAAAACCTAGTTCTTGATCGTGGGGAGCAGGGCCAGGCTTAGGGCTTCTGTTTTGAATATTAGTAAGTATTACCTGGAAGGGGAGAAAATCGGAAAACTAATCAGATCCACATTGAAGCCTACTTCCTTCAAACCCTGTCGCTAAATGCACTGCACGACTTGAAAAATCAATTGCCTTATGCAAACATCAATGCATAGGCACTGGTGTAGAAACGCCAGGATTCGGAAAGCAGAGCGAATGACTTTTATGAGAGAGGGAGCAACCGCGTGGCCCAGGGGCACGTGAGGCCCTCCGGGCACCCTGAGGAGTGAAGGGCGCTGATGCGTGTGATGGTGCCAGGGAGCATTAGAGCCGAAGGGGCTTTGCTGGATGCCAGGACGTTGACTGAGTGACAGAGAAGCAGGTCCCAGCAATGGGCAGAAAGTCATCATCCAGCAGCGGCTGAGGTCGCTGACAGGCAGACTGCAGCTCAGTCCTATATGAGCTTGATGAGCTCCAAAAAGAGCTGAAGAGTGAGTATCCTGATTGGCATGGACCCTAAAATTAACTAGAGGCAAACTCCAGGCTACAAAACTAAGGCCTGTGGACTGAGCAGCAGTCATTTATTCCCAAGGGGAGAGCTCAGAAAAACAATCGAAGCCCCCTTTCTCTCAAACTTGACCTCTTGTCAGCAGACAATGAGATTTGAAAGGTTTAAATTTTTCAGCCCTGCAAGAAAGACTGACAACTAATCAGGAGAAAGGCTTGAAAGTTAAGTAGGTTATAGTAAAGCACAAATATATATCTACTAATACAGATGCTACTCGCTTTAAATTCACAAGTCGAATAAAGCACTTTTCCAATAGAAGCTACTTGTGGTCCATTAACAAACTATACAAGTGCTTTTCAAACATACCTTCCACATCTGCTGAAAGTCAGCAGCTCTTCAAAGACCCGGCGTTTAGCCAAACCCCAAATATTTTAGAGGTCTTGAAATTAATCTCCAAATAAAGTTGAAGCAATTGCTAATTCTCTAGCTTGTAAGCTTTGGAAAACAAAAAAGTAGAAGGCATACGATGAGCAATGTGTCATAGGAAGAAATCCAGGTGGGCAACCCTTGCATTTGAGCTGCATCCCAGCATCTCATCAAAATCGCCCGGCTCCCTCACGACTTAGCGCTCGGCTCTGCAAGTGCTAGGAGGTAGGTGTCCCTCCTACCTCTGGGAACTGTCATTTCTAGCTCTACTGAGGCTCCTCCCCGACTCACCCTCTAAGTGATGGAGATCCAGAGTGAGCACTTGTCCTGGGCACTTGTCCCTTCTCCCTGAAGTCTCTCTCAAGGTGATATCATCCATTCTCCTGACCTTCAAAAATCATCTCTCTGCTGCCAACCTCCAAGTGTATCATCTCTAGTCCAGACTTTCCCTCTGAATCCCAGACTCATATGCAACTACTTCCTCGGCATCTCCACTTGGAGGTCCAACTTGGAAACTTTTAAAAATTATCCTACATTTGCTTTTGAGAATACCTCTTAATTTTAAAAAATTCCATGATTATTGTAAAACAAAAACGATTTGGTACAGTATGAAAAGAAAATTAAAAAACATCTCAACAATTTCACCACAAAAATAACCACTTGACATTGACTGAACAATAATTCAGATATGTCTGTATATACATGTATCAAGAGAAAAGAAAGATGATTTTACAAAATCATTTTACAAAAACAGAGATTGTGTTCTACATGACAGTTTTAATTTAAACCATTACATTTAATTTTAAATTTAACAGTAGAAACTAATGTGTGACCAAAGTAATCACTCAACTTCAGAAAAATGTAGATTTTTTTCTTTTTTATTAATTAATTTATTTTTTAATTATAGTCAACATATAATATTATGTAAGTTTCAGGTGTACAACACAGTGATTTGACATTATATAACCTTACGAAGTGGTCACTGCAATAAGTCTAGTAATCATCTGTCATTGTACAAAGTTATTGTGATGTTATTGACAACGTTCCCTATGCTGTTTAGGTCATCCTTATGACTTATTTTATTTTTAATATTTTTATTTTTCAATTACAGTTGACATTCAATATTATATTAGTTTCAGGTGTATAGCGTAATGCTTAGACATTTATATAACTTACAAAGTGACCCCCTCAATGAATCTAGTGTATTTTTTCCATATAGTTCATAAAGGGTCTCTCTAAAGTTAAAATATATATATTTATTTAATGTACATATATATGTGTATATATAGAGATCATTCTTTTACCTATAATTTCAACTTTATACGATATCTATTAAATCACAATAAAGATGAAGAAATTAACATATTCATACTACCTTCTACTTTGCTTCTCCTCAGGCTCCTATTTTGGTTATATTCCTCTTTATAGTGCCAAGGTTCCCAGCAATTATGTTCTACACCATAATTGTTTTGTATCATTTCTATATTTGTTAATGCATTATAACAAATGCATTTGTTATTTCTTGAATTCTTCATTTTGAATCAATTCTTAGTTGGTGGAACATTGCCCAAATGGGCTCATGGATACTACAGGCCTTGAGTTCTTATATGGTTGAGAATGTCTGTCTCCTGCCTTTCTATTTCTCTAAACTCGATTGAGAATATCTTTGGATTTCATACTTCCTCTCCCTTAGATCATGGCAGACGATTCTCCAGTCTTCTGACACTGAAGGCTGCAGTGGAGAACTCAGAAGCCAGCCTTACTGTTCTTCCTATAGACAATCTGCAAAGAGCAAAAATTGTTTTCCCTGAAGTCTAGAAAATCTACGGAGGGTTATCTTGCCATTCGTCATTCTGTGTCAGTTCTTCTTAGAACACAGCTTAACTCTCAATCTACAAATTCGGATCTGTAGTGTAAAGTAATGCACGGAAGTCAGGCTGCCATTCTGGGTTCAAAGCCCAGCTCCACCACTTTGGGCAAGTCACGGACTCTCGAGCCCTCAGATTTATCATTAGTAAAATGGAAATGGCAACAGAACATGGTCATAGCATGGTCTTACGGACTAAATGAGATGATGAGTGATAGAACACTTAGCCCAGTACGAAGTAAATGCTCATCAGTCTTACTTTGTTAAAGAATTTCTCTTTGATTACACGATTGTATTTTTTACCTATACCATTTTTTTCCCTTTTCTTTTTCAGGAATGCTAACTGTTGACACTGACTTAACTATGGTAGCTTTGTAGTAAGTTGAGAGATCAGGAAGTCTGAGTCCTTCAACTTGGTTCTTTATAAAGATTGTGTGGGCTCTTCTTGTCCCTTGCATTTCCATATTAATTTGTGAATTAACTTGCCAATTTCTGCAAAAAAAAAAAAAGGCAACATATTTTGATAGGGATTGGGTTGAATTTGTTGGCAATTTGAGGAGTAATTGCCATCTTAACAAATTAAGTCTTTTGATCCATGATCATAGGGTGCCTTTCTATTTATTTAGGTTTTCTTTCATTTCTTTCAACACTGATTTGTAGTTTTCAGGGTATAAGATTTACACTTCTTTTTATGATTCCAATATATTTTAATCTTTTTGATGTCATTATAAGTCGAATTGGTTATTTATTTCATTTTCAGATTGTTTACTGCTAGTGTATACAAATAAAAGTGGTTTTTGTATATTGACCTTATATCCTATAACCTTGTTGAAACCTTGTTTATAAGTTATAATAGTTTTTTTGTGTGTGAAGTCCTTAAGATTTTCTATATATAAGATTATGTCAACTACAAATAGAGATACTTTTACTTCTCTCTTTTAAATCTAAAGGCCTTTTACTTAATTTTTCTTGCCTACTTGTACTGTCTAGAACCTCTAGTAAGTGGAAGTAGTAAGAACAGCAGATATTCTTGTCTTGTTTCTGATCTTAGGAGGAAAGCATCTGATCTTTCATCATTTTAGATGTCGTTAGATGTGGGTTTTTCATTGGTGACTTCTATCAGGTTGAGGATGATAACTTCTATTCCTAGTTTGCTGAGTGTTTTTAACATGCAAGGGTGCTGGATTTTGTCAAATGCTTTTTCTGCATCTACTAAGATTATCATTATCATGTGGTTTTTGTACTTTATTCTGCTGATACGTTGTATTACATTAATTGATTTCTGTATGTTAAATCAGCTTTGCATTCTTGATATGAATGTTACTTGATCAGGGTGTATAATTTCCTATATGTTGCTGGATTCAATTTTCTAGTATTTTGTTGAGGATATTTGCATCTATATTCATGGGAGATACAGGTCTCATTAAATGAATTAGGGAGCATTTTTCTGCTCTTCTATTTTCTGAAAGTTTTTATAGTATTGCTATCATTTCTCCTTTAAATGTTGGCTGAATTCACCAACGAAGCCAACTTGACCTATAGTTTTCTTTGTGGGAAGGTTTTAAACTACAAATTCAATTTTTTAAATACATAGAGGAATATTTGAATTATCTATTCCTTCTTGAGTGAGCTTTGATAATTTGTGCCTTTCAAGGAATTTGTTTTCTGTAAGTGATCAGATTTATTGGCATAAAGTCGGTCGTAATTTTCCCTTACAGTCTTTTAATTTCTATAGATCTATGATACTGCCTCCTCTTTTCTAGGTATTGATAATTTGTGTCTTCTCTCTTTTATTCTCATTGTCTTAATAGTTTTTAAATTTTATTAATCTTTTCAAGGAATCCATTTTTGGTTTCACTGATTTTCTCTACTTTCATCTGTTTTCAATTTTACTGATTTCTGTTCTAATCTTTATTATTTCCTTCTTTCTGCTTGCTTTGGCTTTAATTTGTCCTTATTTTTCTAGTTTCGTAAGTTGGAAACTTAGATCATTGATCTGATATTCTTCCTTTCTAAGCATTTAGTGTTATAAATTCTACACATTTTGTTTTATGTATTTCGAAGCTCTATTATTAGGCAACACACTTTTAGGATTATAATGTCTTGTTGATGAACTGACTCCTTCTATTATGTAATATCTCCCGTTTTCTCTCATAATATTTCTTGTTCCTAATTCCACTTTGATATAATATAGCCACTGTAGCTTTGCTTTAATTGTTTGTATAGTATATAATTTTATTTTTTGTCTAC